AAACAAGTTTCAAGAATTTATTTTTATAATTTTTTTTTCCCCCCTGTTTTCGCATACAAAAGTGTTGCAGCAGCCGAAGCAGCCTCCCCAGCCCTCCCCACCCGCCCCCTCTTGCCTGCAGTCCCAGGGAGCCTTTCAGGCTTTTTCCAGGCCTTTGTTTTTCTGCTGCTGGCTGGATGGCTGGCTGGCTGGCTGGCTGGCTGGAGTTGTTGCTGCTTATATTTATGGCATATTGATTAAGTTATTAACATTTTATTAAGGCATTTCCAGAGAGCCCCGACGGCTGTGGAGCAGCCAAAACTGATTTTTAATTGTCGCCACAGACGGATGGACGGCCGGACGGACGGGCGGAAGGACGGGAACGCGTATTGAAAATTGTTGAAATGATTGCCGCGCGCGCCGGCATACAATGTTGCTGCCCCGCGACTATCAAATGCCAGGCATTTATTTAATTTATTTAATTTAACTCAATTTGTTTCGACTGCTAATTGCCGAGAGCCGCGGACAGAGGGATAGAAATGTCTTCTTGGAGTGCAGCCCCCCCTCCGCCTCACCCTCCCCCAACCCATTTGTTTTATTTATTTATTTATCGATGCTGATGTTGGATATCGTACAATCCCTCAAATTGCAATATTTACACTTGTATTAAAAAAATAAATTTCAAAAACAAAATGGATTTGCCACGTGAGTGCAAATTTTTAAAAGAATTTAATGTGAAATTATTTGATTTACAAATAGGTACAGTGGGGTCTCGCCAAATAGAACCACTTTGGTCCTCGGCTTGTTCTTGCTTCTGAAAATAACAGTAAAAAATAGTTACGCAAGCTTTATTTTAATACATTTTTATTTATCAATATTTATTTAATTAAAAAAAATTAAATTTATACAAAAAATAATTTAATTTTTTTGCTTAAATAAAATTGTTATTTATTTATGTCAATTGTTTAAGACAATGTACTAAATAATTAAATAATTAGAAAAATAAATAAATAAATAAAAGCCAAAAACAAATATTTTCCGGAAGCTAGAACCCCAAAAATTACCGGATCTAATTTTTGGGCAGCTCCAATTTGTGATAGTTTTAATTCTGAGAATTTTGATGCCTTAAGTAAATATATTTTCTACAAAATTTATTATTTTAATATAATATATAAAATATTAATTAAATATATTTTCCACAAATTGTATTATATTAAATTTTGTAGAAATATATTTAACTAAGGTTATTACTGGTTTTTAAGTGTTTTATATTTTAAAATTAAATATGTTTAAATCAAAATGAATACTATTTAATTGGATTATTTTTTTATATATAAAAACCGAATATTTAATTGAAATACGCGTGTTTTTATTTGTATTATGAGCAAGTATTGCAACCTCTGATCGGAATAGCTGCCCCTCAAGTATCATCCAGTATTTTCCGACCATCGTTTTCTCTGCCGTCGTATCCCCCACGTTTTTCCCCACTGTTTCTGTTTCTTAGACCAAAGAATTGATATTATATTTCTTTTTATTTATTTGATTTGTATTTGTTTCGCTTTTTGTGTTTTGATTTTTGCCAAAACAAATTTTTGTAATTTATGTTTTGTGTTAAATGTCGGTGCAAAGCAACAAACAAAGCAACAAAAAACAAAACAAAACATAACAAGTGACAGCCAAAATGTCAAATTGCTGTTGACAATCCGGACAGTGTCCACTCCCCTTCCCTCTGTCCGTCTAGCTCTCGCCTTCCTCCTGCCCCTCCCCCAAAGGAGGGGGGGGGGGGGCTTACAGGGGGTCCTATCTCATGTCTGCAATCACACTTTGCTCCGCCAAAGACAATGCCAGAGCATTATATAAATCATTTCGAATGCCATGCTCTTAATAGGGCCGCCAGACACCTCGGACATGCGACACATTGGACATGGTCAACAGCAGAACAGCAGAACAGCAGAACAGCAGAACATGTCTCTGCTCTCGAAAACACTCTGTGGTCCGTCCGTCCCTCCCTCCGTCCAAAGCGATCGCCAGCTGCTGTGCTTACGCCTTTGTGGAGCCAGGGGGAGGGGCCAGTTATCGCTTGAATGTCAATCAAAATCATGGGAAATTATTGGCCAGGAAAGAGATTTGCCACAAGAAGTAGAAGAGAGACTTTTCAGTGGTGAAGGGCTGCCCAAGAAGCGATCTGCTCGACTCAAAGAATACTCCATAGTGTACGCCTATCTTTAATGGATTCCAATAGATTCTTCGATCCTTCGAGAGGGTTTTTCCCTTACCTCAAACGACAGGTCTTGCAGCAAGAAGTAGAGAGACTTTTCAGTGGTGGAGGGCTGCCCAAGGAGGGATCTCGTCGCCTTCTTCGATCCTTCAAAAGGGTTTTCCTTACCTCCAACGACAGGTCCTGCAGCCAGGGGATTATCTCCTCCAGGGGCACCGCTGGATGGCCGACAGTGGTAGGAATGAAGCGATGAAGGGCTGATGGGGGGGGGGGGGGAGGTCCTTTGGGGTTTGCGAATGTTACGAGTGATGTAAGAATTTTGAGGCATTGCCGGCTGGAAGGCTGACATTTTAATACGAGAATCGAATGAAAACCAAACCTAATTGGCCCACAAATCCAAAGTTAAAGCCAAAGCCAAACCTAATGAACCCCCAAGCCCCCAGAGCAAGAGAGGGGGATAGGGAGGGGGAGACGCCAACACCGCCAACAAGACTCGAAAAGACTCCAAAAACTATGTAAATCGATTTGTCGATTTGTCATACGAGTTCCAGCACCGAAACAGACACAGAAATCCAAGCAAAAACAACAACAATAACAGCAAAAGAAACAGAAACAACAAAAAAGCGAAACTAAAGACTGGAACTGGAACTGCACTTCCACTTGGTCTTTGGGCTGGCTTTGGCTTTGGCTTTGGCATCTTCACAAATGAAAATGAAAATGAAAATGAAAATGAAAATAAGTGTGAGGCGCGCTCTGGAGAGGGGTTGCCGACACGCTTGTAGGTCGTCAAAGGTCCTGCCGTGAATTGTCATTGTCGTGAGTTGCATAATGCCGCACAAAATCGACACAACAATGCAGCAACAACATCCAAGGGGCAACAATCAAGGGGCAGCAAGTAGCAGCGAGCAGCAGCGAGCAGCAGCAGCTATCAAAGCACTTAATACACTGAAAAGAGCTCTCTTGGCCTGGGTCTGGGTCTGGGCCCCAATTCTATGCTGCCTGCCTGCCTGCCTGCCTCATTCCTTTCTGCCCCGGCCTGGCCCGGCTTGGCCAATTTTGCCAAGCAATTTTCGAGCCCAGTGTGGCAGTGTGGCAGAGTGGCAGAGTGGCATCAGTCGTAAATCAAACACAAGAGCAGCAGCCATCAGCCAGCAGCCAGCAGCATTTCAACACCTTCGCTTAGACCTTGACTTGAAATGAAATCGAAATCGAAATCGGATACAAAAACAAAAAGAATTCCGAATCCCAAATCCAAGACCAAATCAGTAGCATTTTCTGTGGCACGGCTTGGGCGCCGGGTGGAGACGGGGGTGGCGGCGGACTCGGCTGCTAATTTGGCTCATTTTATTTTTAAGTAATTTGTAGCGGTACTCCCCCCCCCCCCCCCTCCCCTCTGACCCTAGTTTTGGCTGCTTAAAGTGCAAATTTTAGTGCCTTCAAGCACACAGACAGAGGGTCTCCATCTCCAGCTCCAGCTCCATCCGAGAGAGCTCTATTCTAGCCATATAATTAACGTTTCTTTCCGTGGGGCGACAGTCAGACAGAGTCTTGGCCTGGCTTAGACCTTGGCTTGTGCGATTTTTGCTGATAAAATTGCCCCAAAAAACAAAAACAGAGCCAAAAACAGTGAAGCAGAAAAGAGAATACGGGAATTGCCATTGACTCTGGTGGCTGTTGTTGTTGTTGTTGCTTGTTGTTGTTTTTGTTGCTTTTGTTGCTTTTGTTGCTTTTGGTGGCAGTAGCTGCTGCTGCCTGAAATTTCTGTCTGTCAGCGCGGAGTCAGCGGTTGAATTAAAATTCAAAACTCGTGACTTATTTAATTATAATGAGTTTAGATTAGAACGGTTTCGCGGCAGCGGCAGCACGGGAGTTGCCGCAGCGGCATAGAGCGGCACAAAGCAAAGTCACGGGGTTTATGGGAAACCAGATACAGATACAGATACAGATACAGATCGATACCGTGGATCGTACTAACTAGCCAGAGCAATGCCTCAGCAATATGGTAATTTGTACCCAAAAGGCAGCCAAAATTCGCTCAAATATCAAACGGATCTCTCGCGGGGGTCGTCGGTTGTGTGCACTCGTTTATAGGTAAACAAAACAACAAAACAACCAAAAAAAAAAAAAAATTACAAATTTTCGCAATTAAAGTTTTTAGAGACCATGTTTTTCCGTCGAGGTCGAACTGCTTGCAACATCTTCAATCAAAAGCAACTGCAACAACACCTACGTGGGGCACAAACAAATCACACAAAAAGCCATAAATCCAAATCCCATTTGTCAGCATTAGAAAATTATGCAGCACCACAAGCGACAGAGAGAGAGAGAGCGAGAGAGGGGGGTGGGGCAAGAGAAGTACGCGGTACAAGACCCCCTCCATCTGCAGAGATTCATAAATTAAATTACACGACAAGCGCAATAATAATAAAAACGATTTGAGGCCCACACGCAACCCGAAAAAAAAGCAACTGCATAGAGAAAAAAAAACAACAAAAAAAACGAAAGCAAAAAGCAACACAAACCTGCACAAAGATTCATTAAAGATTTGCCCAAAACAACAGCAACAGCCACAGCCACAGCAATCACAAATACAAATACAAATAACAGAAAAAAAGAAGAATTAAAGAGCAGAAGAAAAAAAAAAGAGAACAGCAACCGTTTTTATGCATGTAATCTGCGGAGGGAACATGCACAATATGTCCAACGCTGGAAGAGGGCGAGCGAAGAGGGGCGCTGGCGTCGGCAGCGGCCGAAGAGAGCGCAGGCAGTGCAGTAGCAGAGGACAAGGAGCAGCAGTGGCTACACTGAGCGCGGGCAGAGGAGTAGCAGTGGCTGCACTGAGCGCAGGCAGAGGACTAGCAGTGGCTGCACTGAGCGCGGGCAGAGGAGTAGCAGTGGCTGCACTGAGCGCAGGCAGAGGTCTAGCAGTGGCTGCACTGAGCGCGGGCAGAGGAGCAGCAGTGGCTGCACTAAGCTTGGGCAGAGGACTAGCAGTGGCTGCAGTAAGCGCGGGCAGAGGACTAGCAGTGGCTGCAGTAAGCGCGGGCAGAAGACTAGCAGTGGCTGCAGTAAGCGCGGGCAGAGGCGTAGCAGTGGCTGCAGTAAGCACGGGCAGAGGCGTAGCAGTGGCTGCAGAGAGCGCGGATAGGAGAGCGGTAGAGGTAGATCACATAGAAGCAAGCGCAAACAAAATTCACAATTAAAATCGAAATAAATGTTGATGATGATGACGATGATTATGGCAGCAGTGTGCACCGGCAGCAGCACCACCAACAGTTGTTGCACGCATGCGCGGGCGCCATCATCAGCTGCCATCGTTGTTGGGCGCTGTTGCCAAATTTGGTCAGGCGCAAGAGCCACCACACACAAGCGGAAGCCACAGCCGCAGCCGCTGCAGACACCGACTGTCGCAGAAGTGTCATACACTTGGAGAGGCCTGGGAATCTCTGGCCAGCGAGTGGGTGCCACAAATGTGGCTTGTTGCGGGGCTAAAAGGTGTGTGTGTGTTGGCCAAATGACAAAAGTCTTCAACAGCAGCAGCCAGCAATTGCTGAGAATCAACTGCAGTAAATCAAACAATTGCCTGACGTCCGACGGTGGGGCAGGGGGCCCAAAACGGAGGGCGGGAAACAGCAAATATGAATCATTGCCGAGTTCTGCAGAGGATGGAAATGTGAATCATTTGCAGATCATTGAATGATGATAGAACTGCTGCTAGAATTGAATGAATGGTGGTATATCTTCTGTAGATCAGAGCAAGAATCATTGAATATCATTTTAAGATCACATACGAAGAGAAATCATAGGGGTTCACGAATCGATCATAGATCTACAGGAGATTGGCAAAAGTATCACTAAAAGATCATATTTTTGATGTAAATTAATCCAATAAACTCTTATCATAGGGAAATGTTCCATCCACTGATATTAGAATCCCTAGAGATCTTTAAAAGTACCAAAGATCGATCTGATGGTCCCCAAAGTTGTCAGATTTGGAATATCGATCACTGGAGATCACTGAAACATCACAGATCTAACATTAGATTCAGTAAAAGCTATAGATCGCTACTTGAATCCCTGAAAGTCACTAAAGATCTCACCCTGAAACCCCACAGATCTTCCATTAGATTCATTAAAAGCTATAGATCGCTACTTGAGCTTAGTAACTTGACTAGTAGATCACTTAGGACTAAAGATCCCACCCTGAAGCCCCGCAGATCCTCCATTAGGTCCCACTGTGAATCACTCAAGGGAGATCTTGCAAGTGCAAGTGCAAGCGAGATCGATGGCTTTCGCTTTCGCTATCCCCATTCTCTCTCTAGCCTTGAACCAGTTTTTCTTCTCGATTGGCAATTGTTTTAGTCGAAAAGTTGCGAATCAATTGAACGAATCGAACGAATCGAACGAATCACCCGAAATAATCATTCAATCAGGTCAGCAATTGTTATTGGCTTTTTCCTCTTCCTCTTCCTCTTCCTTTCCGCAGCAGCATGACTTCCCAAAACAACAACAAACTGAGCGAAACAAAAATCAATTATATGCATAAATTTCCAAAAACAATAAAAAACAGACAGAGACAGACAGAGACAGAGAGAGAGAGAGAGAGAGAGAGATAGAAGGCAAAGTGCTGCGACGGGCAAATCGATCAATGTCAGGAAATGATGGCAAGGTTATGACAATTATCAACGCAGAAAAAAGACCAGGCACCAGATATTAATTATGACCATCATCAGCATCATTGTGTTGGCAGCGGGGTCCGTTCTGGCCAACAATTGCAATCGCCGGCTAATGGCAAATGGAAGTTGCCCAAGAAGTCGTTGTATTAATTATACGCCACGTTGACCCATAAAACTCTTTGCCCGCAAAACAAGAGAGACTTTGACAATTGTTTTGGTGCAGCAGCACAGCCCACAGCCCACAGTCCCCGTCCTCTGTGACTCATTGAACCTGCCCCTCTGCCACTGCCACTGCCACTGCCACTGCCCCTCTTCTGTGGCATTGTGCGTTGCTGCTGTTGCCACTAAGGTGCGTTTTTCTGTGTTTTTTTTTTGGCTTAGAACCGGGTCTGGGTCTGGGTACGGGGCCTGGCTGCTGCCAAGCCATTTATTGCCTTCATGGCACTCAATTTGTTTGGCCCGCGGCGGCTGTGGCGGCTGCAGCGGCAGCGACTCCATAATAAAATGTTTTTTATTATACAATTTAGTTGCTTTAACTTGCGTGTAAATCGCCTTTTGCATATTGACACATAATCATTGTCTTTGCAAAAGGCAAAAAGGCTTTTGGCCACAGCGAAAAAAGGCTGAAAAAAAACGGTGGGAAGAGCCACAAAACAGAACGAACGGGGGATGCCCTGCCCAGGGGGGGGGGATGTGCAGAAAGGGGCGGAGAAGCCCCTCAAGTCTGGCCTTAAGCCATGCCCTTGCCCTAAACCAGGCCAAAAGGTGGCTGAACCCTTCTGGAGGTATACCCTTCCCGCGTTAGAGTACATTCGAATTGAGACAAAAAACTTATTACATGTTGCGCTGAAAACCGTTGCAAATCTAATGAACATTTTCATTTTGCAGCATTTTCATTGCGTGGGTGGACTTTGGGGGCTTGGAGTCACTTGGAGGCTTGGGCTGGGGATTGGACTGGGGATTGGACTGGGGATTGGGTTTGGGTTTGGGGGATTGCAGATTGCAGAATGGAGGGAGAGACTGTGTGCCGCCATAATTCAACGATTCTAATAAGTGCTGCAAACGAAACCCGATTACACCTCGTGAGGAGCGTGGAGCGTGGAGTGTGGAGCGCGGAGTGGAGTCTAGTGCCTCTCTGGAGTGGAAATTCCTCGCTAATGAGGTTAATAATCCAACGAAAGACATTTACATGAGCCATTGAGATGTTAACAAGGAAAAGGAGGTCGAATCTCACACGGCAGCGAGGCACAGAGGATGCGCGGAATTAGCAGATAATCCCAGCAGTAGAAAAATAATTAGAATTTCCTGCAGTTAAAAAAAAAAACAGTTGCTGAAAAGTGGGATAACAGCAGCGGATGATGGCCGCCAGTTAATCTTCCATTTAACATTCCTCTGCCGCGCCCCCCCTGCCGATCCATCGAAAGTGTATGCCTGCCACTGCCTCCCTGCCACTGCCGCAAATTGGAAGCTGACCTCAGAAGAGGGGTCTGCAACGTGCGTCTCCTCATACGATGCAATCGATTGAGCAAGCCAGCCAGCCAGCCAGCCAGCCAGCTTTCATGCAACATGAGGCATGAGGCATGGCTCCCAGTCGATGGTTAAAGCCTACTCCAAGGCAGCCGCATGATTGAATTACATTCTGTTGCAAGGCAATGGAAACATGCAGCAATGTTGCAGCGGCAGCAGCAGCAAACGGTAGCTGCCATGCACGTGTTGAACGTTGCTGCTGCTGTGGCATGTTCCCCTGGCTTAGTGCAACTAATTAGACGTCATTGTCTGGCCAGTCCCAGTCCCATTCCCAGTCCCAGTCGAGAGCCAGAGAGCCGCAGCAACAGCCTCGTTTGGCATTTGCGGGGCATAACCATGCTCCATGCTCCATGCTCCATGCTCCATGCTCCAGGTCCACGTCCAGGCAGCTGTTGGGGAGCCTGCCTCCATTGTTATCTTTTGGCAGCGCTAAAAGGGGTCATTATGTCAAGGATTTCACTGTACACAGTACGTACTGTACGTACGGTGTACAGTGCGGGCCATCGAATGGCAGATCTATTCCACTGTGGCAGCCTCTTTTGCGCTGCCTGCCTCACTTCCTGATAGCCACGGAGTCTCTGAGTCATGCCACCGTTTTTGTTGTTGTTGTTGTTGTTGTTGTCAGTGGTTCAGTGTCATTGTTGCGGCTACCAGTGGCAGTTGCTGCACGTTGCACCGTTCTTTGTGCCGCAATTAAGCGCCTGACAAAATGACTGACAATCTGGCTGTCGTTTGTGTAGCCTTTTGCGTCGAGATCTGTCTTTAGATCTGCCCCAGCCCCTGCCCCAGCCCCTGCTCCAGCCTCTGCCTCTGCCCCAGCCCCTGCCCCAGCCCCTGCCCCAGCCCCTGCCACAGCCCCTGCCCCAGCCTCTGCCTCTGCCAGTTTTTTTTTTTTTTGGGTAATTGCTAATCCCCGCTAACGAGGCATTGAGCCACTGCCACTGCGTTGCACCAAGTGTCCAGTGGGCGTCGCGCATTAGTTTTCAATATCTGGCTGCCGCAACAACCGCGTGGCGAGTTAATGTGGCGTTCAATGATTGCGTCTAATGATTGATTGCCACAGATATGCAAAAAAAACAAAAACAACAACAACAACTCTTCAATCGGTTGTGGGCCTCCTCCGCCAACGATCCAGCGATCCACCGATCCACCGATCCTTCAGCGAGCGAGAGAGCGGGAGAGAGAGAGACAGAGAGAGAGAGAGAGAGTGAAACTCTGAAAATGAAAACGAAATTGGTCTGCAACTGCAACTGCAACTGGTTCCTGTTGCATGCTGCATGCCGCATGGTGCATGGTGGCGCTGTGCTGCTTGCGGCTTCAAACGTGACGCTGCTGACCCACTGAACCCCCACCAGAGGCAGTCGCTGCAGTCGCAGCAGTGGGTGATGGGTGGCACACAGTGCCAGTGTGCAACATTGGGCTGCCTTTTGGGTGCAAATTGTTGCAAGGCACAGGAGGCACACAGAAATATTGAAACACACACACAAAATGCCGTCCCAGAGTGGAGTGGAGTGGCGTGGAGTCGAGTCGAGTGGCGTGGAGTGCAGCTCGTGCATAAAAGTTTATTGATTCTGTGCCGGCGATATTAGGCCCCCCCCCCCCACCCCCCACCACCACCCCCCCGCACCATCTGCGCCGCAAGATGTTGCATAATTATTTTCGGCATAATATCAATTTATATATAGACACAGATATCGATTATCCATTACGGAATGGGGTCGCTCGTCGCTCGTCGCTCGTCGCCAATCGACAATCGAACCGAAAAATGGAAATGGGGTTCAAAAGTGCAGCCCCGAAAATTGAGCAAAGATTGTGATTGGTCAATCGCGAGAGCAGCAGAGCACGAGAGCACGAGAGCAGGTGCTGCAATCTAACGGGGATTGAGAGAGGATATCCAAGGGAAGAGTGAGAGAGAGAGAGGATATCCAGGGGATGTGAGAGAGAGAGGATTTCTGGGGGAATGGAAGGAGGATTTCCAGGGGAATTGAGAGAGGATTTCCAGAAAAGAATTTCGGAGATTTATAGAGGAATCAGAAGTGGATTTCCAGGGGAATTGGAAGAGAATGGCTAGAGGAATTGGAAGGGAATATCCAGTGGAATTGGAATTGGAAG